TGTAAACAGGGACTGTCCAAAGAATAGACCTGAAAATCAAAGACCAGGGTCGTACTAGATGCAGGTAGGCCAAACGATTCCGAAATTGTTGGAATGGTAGAAAATTTGGGGTACCTACCTACTATCAACAGAATCTTATCGCTAAATCCAAAATTATCGGCGATATTGTGGACAAAAAAACAAAAAAATTGTACCGTAACGTATACATAATTATTACCCTATGTGCATAATTAGACTGGTCTTGAAGATTTAGGAAAAGAATTTGAAGTTAAATGGGACAAGATTAAATATACTTAAAAGTGTAGGGATGAATTACAGACATAGAAAAGTGATACTTAGTTTGTATAAAGAGCAACAGGCAGTTATAAAGCAGGGGGTTGCAACATAGAGAAGTAAATATTAGGAAGGGAGTCAAACAGGGATGCACACTGTCACTGCTAATTTTTAATCTATACATCTGTAGGGATAGATATTCAGGAGCAAAAGATTAGTATGCTTAGATTTGCAGATGATATAGCAGTATTAGCCTCTAGCCAGGAGGAGTTAGAGATAGCTTTAAATAAAATGGAAGCGGTATTTACAAAACAGTATTGTATGAAAATAATTAAAAGTAAAACAAAAATACTGATATGCAAGGGAAGAAAAGGGAGAGAAAGAGCGAATATAAAGATAGGAGACGAAAAATTAGAAGAAGTGGCTGATTTTAGGTATCTAGGAAGTCAGATAAGTCAGGGCGGAAGGAGTAATAGGGATATAAAGCAGAGAATAGCGCAGGGTCGACTCGCCTTCAATAAAAACAAGTGTCACTTCTATGCTCGCGAATGATTAATTTTTGAAATTCGGAAGAGGCTGTTAAAGATTTGTTTGGAGCGCGGCGCTGTACAGGTGCGAAACATAGACACTGGGCGCGGCGGAAAAGAAAAGAAAAGGTTAGAAACGTTACAGGCGAATGATGAGGATACCGTGGATAGAGAAGGTTAGAAATGAACAGGTATTAGAAAGAATAGGAGAAGTCAATAAGAAATGGGCGAGATAGGTTGGTAGAACGCCTTCTCAGGCATGAAGGTCCAGTCAAAGACTATTAGAGGCACAAACAGGAGTTAGGAGGGGTAGAGGTAGATTAGATTAGTGTTCTCAAATAGTTAAGGGTGCAGGTTGTTCTAGTTTTGGGGAAATGCGAAGATTAGCTCAGGATAGGAAAGAGTGGAGGTGCGTGTCCAATCAGTCTTACAACTAGCGACCTTATGATGATGAAATTCATTCAGAAAAAATGGCTAGGTACTATTAAAGTACTGTTATCTAAAACTTACTTTCAAATCTTTAATTTCATTTCTATGACCTCAAGAACATAATAAGCTGAATTGAACATAAAACCTAGTAAAAACAGTAAATAATTCGGGGTTCGAATGAAAATAAAAAGTCCCTATTTATAACCTTTTCCTACACTTCATAGTATAAATTCGTGTACAAAACATATGTATAGACAGCGATAAATAATTGCTCACGTCTCTTAAGACACAGTGCCAAGTTTTAAATTTTGTCCGTAACCTTTGCAAACAGTAGTTGGCAAAGTTATAGAGCGTAAGAAAAGCTGATTTTATCAATATTCAACCAAACTTAAAAGGTGACAGTTAAAAAATTCGCTTTTACGAAAAGTGGCACTCTCCATAATCCATCAAACTTAGACGTTATTTTCAACAGATCAACACAAAAGTAAGTTTACATATTATACATGTTACAAAGCATGTAGCCAATAAATTATAAATCGATTCCGCCTAGCCGTTTCTAAAAACAAAGCGGCCAATTAAACGTTTATAAAGTGAGTAGTTACCAACATCATGAATAGTGTGTTACACCCTACAACGAATAGATTGAGGACGTTTTGTAGTTGCATCATCTTTTTTGATTCCTAATTAGCTAAAACTGCAAAGTTGTGCTAGGCAGTTCGCTGCGCAGTCAGGCGATGCGCAACCGATTAATCGATTCCCAATCAATAAATAAAGCATGTCAGGCAGGGGATGCTAATATTCAATGCCGTAAATAACATGAAATATTTAGGTCAATTATTTTTTACGGCTAAAAATACACCAATAAAAATTAAGTTCTTCACGAAATGAATTGAGGAAGTTCTCTATTGGCCGATTGTTACAGCCCAAATATAAAACGCAGTTCTTTGATCTCTAAAGACTACGTTTGATTCTTTTTAATTGCACATGCCGCTCGTGGATGTTTAGTTAACTATCATATGTACCACCAGCACCAACTACAGTTAGGTAAATTTTATGTGACGAAAAATCATTTAAATTAAGTTTAACGAGTGCAAAATTAGTTTTGTCGTAAGTACCCATGTAGCTCGTACTTGTGTGTGTGTCAATAAATTAACACCTAGTAACAATAAAATAATTTTCTTAATAGTATAAGTAGTAAATGTACAATAACTACTAATTGTCAGGAGGCATAAAAACTATTGAGTAATATTAGAAAAATTGATGAAATAGTAAACGATTTTTTAACAGTCCATACTGATAAGTTCAAAATAATTAAAAATTTGTTGCATGCTTATTATCCTTTATGTTATAGTGCTATGTACTTAAAATGCAAGGGCAATTTTTGAAGTGAAACTTCTTTACGCCCGGTAGGGTAAGTTCGTTTCAAGCGAGTTGCTATGTAACGAAATCATGCAACGCATTTCCCCTGCTGTCTGTCCCTATGTATGCTTAGATCTTTAAAACTACGCAAAGGATTTTAATGCGGTTTTTTTAATAGATAGAGTAATTCAAGAGGAAAGTTTATATGTATAATACATGCATAATACAGCAGAGAAACACTGATCATTTTAGAGGTTTGTACTTACATTGCAAACGCTGGCTGAACCCTACGAGATAGATCAAAATAATATACTACAGTATTGTACACCTTAAAAAGGTCTACAAAAAAGTCAGGGATAGTATATGTCTATCTATTAGGGATAACCCACAATAACAATTTTTAATCTTTTACTTTTTACGAGAAATAATGGCTTATTTACGAAGCGATTTTAAGCAATACAGCATTAATCCTTATCCAATCAAGTACTTTTAAATACATTGTGCATTTAATATAGAGCAATATGGCCCTTTACAGCATGTAATTTAAATGAATATTTTCGAAGATATTACAGACTTAAAATGCAGGGACATAGCGGTTGCACCCGTGTGAAGCATACTGTACAAATAATACTATTAAACCAATTCCATAACCCCTATGCCGCTATGTTTAAAAAAGTTTTACTTCAGTAGCGTGTTGTACAATTACACGTTGAATTTTTTTCTTATATTTCGATGGGGTAGGTTAGGTACAATAACAAAATGATTTTATTATTAAAATATCAGCTTTCTGATGCTATCTTACCGGAAATTTGCCACCAGAGAAGTTAAGTACATCTAAACAGCGTTTTGGTGTTCTTCATGTGTGGGTAGCAAATCGTTGCCAACCTAACCGTATTTTCAATTGTCGAAACGGGTGAAATCACCAGATGCAAAGTCTGGCCTATATGGTGGACAATCATAGTTTTTATCCATAGCAATGCACGACAGCACTGTCACCATTATGAAAGCCCCTCTCAGACAATTTGAATGGTACGTTTCCGACCATCCACCACCGTATAGTCCAGACCACAAACAGAGTGATTTTCACCGCTTTTGGCAATTGAAGGCATAAATTGGTGGACAACAACGAACTTCAGAAGGCTGTTAAGACGTATAAGGGGCTTCGGAAAGGTGCCACAATACGACAAATACGTTAAAAATTAAATGTCTCATTTTCAAATAAAACAGCCATCGTAAATTACTATTTCAGCTGTTCACAACTTCAAAATATTTTACCACTAACAAGTGCACAAACGGTTAAAATTTATGACGAATTTTTACCTATTTGGTCGAAGAATTGCAGTGACTGTAGGATATTATTCAAAGCTACAAGGCGACCATTTAGATGTCCAATTGGCAAAAGTGTACATATAAATACAGCTAATAATAAATGCAACAAAAATTTCGCGAAATCAAGAACCGTCGACAACGCCCTGTATATGTCAATATACCGCTGACGTACATTGCGCGTTTAAACCATTTTTCCAAAAATCAAAAATTTAGCATGAAGCAACTTTAGGGACCGTAGGAGTAGGCACTTTGACGGTGCCAATAAAATCATGAATAAAGTGAGCAACTTAAAATTTAAATCACCTACGAAAATAATATTTTCATCATGTTACGCTTTTCGTAATAAAATTGGAAAATTTCTCTATTAGGTTGTAAAGTTAAAAAAAAAAACTTATTACATAGAAGTTTTCTGTTAATTAATTTTTGAAATACCTAACATTTAGTTATAGTATAACCAAATTAACATTTTTTAAATTTTGTAGCAATTAGTTATGAAACAATATTAACACCATTATATTCCAGGTTGCATACCCAAATGATTATCCTTCCACATAATAAAGCAATAATTTACATCAACAAATAAAAACTTGTTAAACACGTTATTTACACTTTAGTAATATTTGAAACGAAAATAATTATAATTTTATGGAACATTAAAGCAACATGAAACTACTTGAAGATTATTAAATCTACAATAATACTCATACTTCTACATTAAATTCAAATATGCATTTTTTTAAATGTTTTTGTTATTTGAATGAAAAAATTTCATCAATAATGACAATTTAGTCAAACATATAGAAAGTTATAATAAATTAAATTACAGGCAAATCAACAATAAAATGATATTCCTTAAATTTAGAGTTAACAGTAGGCAACCTGCTTGTCTGTAGAGTTAGGTAAGTTGCTTACAGATGCATAATTATTGTTATTACTAAACGATAAACTTGGCGTATACAGGGTGTTCATAGACTCATTATAACGTAAAATTATTTGTTTATAAATAGTAATGTATGCAATCCCGAAACTATTTTCTTTACAGGTCCCAAAAAGACGACCAACACACAAAAAACGCAGAACAACAAACCGATTGAAAATGGTACAAAAAAAGAACAACACACTTTCGTAAAACCACAGTTAAAGCCGGTGCCCCCAAAGGAGCCCACCAAATTACAGTCTAAAGAAGTTAAAGTACCCATAAAACTGAACAGCGTGGCTGATCGGCCCATTAACCCCCCGATCGAACCCAAACGACGGGGGTCATCAAAAGATGAATCCGACGCTATCATCGACAAGGTTTATTAATTATAACTCTAATAGTTACTATAAATTGATATTATTTTATGATAGGCCATGCCTGTAAAACGAAACGACCTAGTTCGCGCGGACAGCCTGAAAAAAATGACTCCCAAGGCACCCCCAATGCCCCCACCGGTCCCGAAAGCACCTAGGCCTCCGGATGCACCACCTCTTACAGAAAAGAAACAACATGTCTTGGAACACCTCAGGTATTATAATAGCAACAATATTATAAAAAAAGGCGCTATTCGATTAGAATGTAAAGTCGACCCGATTTCAAAAAGGTTAATTTTGCGTACGTTACAAGTCTTAGTACCTTTGTCAACTTGCGTTCCGTAGTATCAACAATTAAAAGTAAAAAATATAATCTGTGTCCCTGACATTCTGCGTAGTTTAAAGACTACTGCCAATTTTTGGTCTTGGCAGTTCTATTTTAAACAATTCTTTCATAAGACCATTATTATTAACAAATAAAAATGCGGTGAACTAAAAGACTGGAGTATGTTCTTACACTATTCTTATAGTCAACAGTAAGTTGATTTTAGGCGGTTCATTCATTCCGAATTGAATTTTTGAAATGTAAAATTGAGATCTTTTTTTTTTTTTAATAGATCGAGACCGAAACAGAGGCCGGACTGGACCGGGCTCCTAAAGGACATAGAATCAGGAAGAAAGCTAAAACATGTCGTCTGTAATGATAGGTCGAAGCCTCTTTTGCCAAACGCAAAGGCCAAAGAGGGCACCAAAGAAGGACACTTCGTTTACGAAACGGAAAAACAAACCGCTCACAACGACCTACTCAAAGAAGTTAGTAACTTTTTACAATCTGAAAAATACTTGCACAGGATAAAATGAATACTCGTTGCTTTTAGATTCAAAAAGGTGTATCCTTAAAGAAGGTAAAAACAAATGACAGAAGTAAACCAATCTTGGAAGGGCTTAGAAAGTTCCGAAGGCAGATGACAATCGAAGAACAAATCCAGAAATCACAATCCATGGCCAGTATACCACCAGTAAGTACAATTAGTTCCGATACAGTGCTTTAATAACGACTGCAAACTTCAATCCACTTCGTAGGAAGAAATAGAACCTGATGAAGTAGATGAATTAGACGACATCGATAAAGTTAGAGACGATCTTCAAAGTACAAAACAGTTGCTAGCAATAGAATTACGAAATAAAGAAGCCCTAGCACGAGAAAATAAAAAACTGCAAACCAAGATACTTCAATTAGAAGCTGAACTTGAAAAAGAAAGGAATAAAAAACAAACTCAAGCACCAAGCACAGTAGCCGATGAGAAGGTAATCTTTCAATAGAAGTAATTAAATTTACAAATTAATGTTCAAATTTTAGTTGATGAAGACGCTTAAATCGGAGGCAGAAGAAGCTAGAAAGACTGCTGAAGAGTTAGAAAAGAAATTCCACACTGCCGCTAATCAACTGGACAACACGAGATCAGAACTGGAGGAATTACGAAGACAGAAGATGATGTTAGAAAAGAAATTACAAGATGGTGAAATTACTTGAAAAATTCAAAAACCAATTTATATCTACAAGGATAATATTGTATTTTAGGTAAGAGAATGTCGGTATGTGAAAGAAAGCCAAGCGTAAAAGAAGAAAGTTCAGAAGAAGAGGAAGAAAGCGAGAGCGAGGATGATGGCGAAATGACCCCAGAAAAAGTAGAAAAGAAAGCACAGAAAGAAGTAAAACAACTAAAAAACAAACTGCTGAAGTTCAAAAACAAAGAAGACAATGCAAAGAAAGAACGAGTTGCGCTAAAAACGCAAATGAAAACATTACAAGCTGCCATGAGAGACGAAAAGAAAAAGTACAAAGGCTTGAAGAAAGAGGTAAGCACACTAAATAAAATTTTCAAAAGTACATAACAATATTAAACTTTTATTTTGAAATTTTCATACTCAAAATCATAGTTAGTAAAAAACAATAAAAACAATAACTGACTTTGTCATTTGTCAAATAATCGTGTATCCCTCGGTAGGTACATTCTATCGATAAAATAAATAAAACATAATTGCATTCCTTCTTAAGGTTGATAAAATGGCAGCTCTAATGAAAGAAACGAGTGAAGATGAAGATGAAGAAGAACCCGAGGAAGAAGAAGAAACGGAAACAGAAACCGAAACAGAAAGTGAATCTGAATCCAGCGGATCTGAAAGTGAGTCCGAACTCAGTGTAAGCGAAGCTGAAGATGCGCCTGTTGAGAAGAAGAAACAAAATCTGTCGACAAGAACCAACAAGCACGAGAATAGATTAGCAGCCCTAAAGAAGGGCAACTACATGCTCAAAACGAATGTTGAAAGGCTGCAAGATGATATGAATAAGCAAAAGGACATGACGATGGAATTACAACAAGAGTTAGACTCGGTCTTGGCAGATTTAGGTTGATTTTTTGTTGTTGTGATCGCCGTATTTAACTTTTTTATACACAATTTAAATGGTTTGTATTTAATGGAACACTACGTACTTGTATGTTCCTCGGATATAGTATTAAAACTTAAGTTCTTGCGATAATAAAATATACAACAAGAAATATTCATTACTGTAAACTTCTTAGTAATATTCTGTAACATTAAAGGAAGCAATTTCACATACAATGTAAAGATTACCTACTTTACAATGATAGCATTTTCATATTACCTTCTGTGTGAGATAACAATAAAAGATGTGATATTTTACTAAGACAATTATTTCAGAATAGCAGTAACTTGCAGCATTTACAAGGTAAAATGCCAGTTCTCGTTGTCTTATTTTTATCAACAATATCTTTCTAATAACTTGCAATGTAGTTAATTCTCATTACTCATTACTTCGTCAAGTTTTTTCCAAAACAACTTGCTATATACCAAAATATGTATAATATTAAAATTGCACCATGTAATTTCAATACTTGGATAAATATATAAACAAAATTCGTTATTTGTTTATATTTAATGTAACAAAATTCTAACCTTACACATTTGTTTATAGCGTGTAAAATTAAATTTTAAAGTGTTATGCAAAACACTTACCATGAATAAGAACTGCTAATCACTTTAATCACAAGTTAACAATTATTAAAATATGCAACATGTTTTTTTCAAGTTCACAAATACGAAATTAATAATTTCGAAGACGATTTAAAATTATTTATGCACCACAGGTTAACCAATTCGACCAACCTAATGGTCACTATGGGTTAGTTACTAGTTACTAGGACCCATAGACAAGTTAGGACCATAGTAGTTAAAGTTCATGGATAAGTAAGAACCATAGTAGTTAAAGCTCATAGATAAGTTAGAACCATAGTAGTTAAAGTTCATAGATAAGATAGGATCATAGTAGTTAAAGTTCATAGATAAGTTAGAACCATAGTAGTTAAAGTTCATAGATAGGATAGGACCATAGTAGTCAAAGTTCATAGATAGGTTAGGATCATAGTTAAAGTTCATCGAATTAATCACTTGCCACTTCATATACTTTAGTATATTTTTAGTAATCACAATTAACATGTAACCTACATTAATTTAATCAGTTTTATTATATTTATATCTGTAAAAACTAACCGTGAAAGTTTTTGTATTTATTTGTCAAACTGCCGTTAAGTGTGACAATCCGATGAACAATTGAACAATGGCAAAATGAACCTCTGTCACTCAATGTCATAAGGAAGAAACGTCAAAATTTTGAGGTTATATTAAAAAATTAATAGCACTTATGAACTAAATAAAAATCTAAAAAATGGCAAAGTTTTTGGGGCTGGATAAATTAGCAAAATTAGTTCAAATAGTAAAAGATAACGGAGGCGTCAAAGCCTCTTTGTACAAACTGTACAGGTAAGACGCACTGACTGTTACATAAGTCTTCTGCAAATCTTAAAAATTCAATTTCTTTCTCCTCTAAATAGATTCGACGACCTAAGAACTGGCAAGTTAGTAGGTGTTGATAAGTATGGTAACAAATATTATGAAAACCCAACCTTCTTTTTTGGACGTAGTAGATGGGTTGAATATGCTGATTATTATGGTTTGCTTCTGTTTGTTTTTTCTGTTCAACTTTAGTATGACTTTCCCAATTCTAGGAATGGATTATGATGGTAGCCAAATACCTGCAGAATGGTTTGGATGGATGCATTACAAAACTGACCTACCGCCAATGGAAGACCCATCTAGACCTAAATATAAATGGATGCTAGATCATGTTGAAAATTTAAGTGGTACACCAGAGCAATATGTTCCTTACAGCACCACTCCTAGTAAAATTAAAGCTTGGGTTCCTCCTAAGAGAACTTAAATTTTCAACTGAATAAAATGTGTAGATCACTATACTTGAATTGTTTATAATGTCTTAGCATATAAGTTTAAAGTGTACCATAGAAAATAAATTGTAAATAATTATTTGTCTTTTTACTGGAATTAATCATAACCTATAATATGGTCATAACCTTCAAATACTAGTACTGATATTAGGTAATAAAAATTTTGTAGAAGTGATTGGAAATATAGATGTCGTTGAAAATAAACCGTACTTTTCTGAAAACACTTCGAGGATTTAATACTGCTTTTGGAAGAAATGTAGCAAACGAACAACCTGCATTCAAAACTGAAGAGTCCACAGATGAAACACATTTTGGCTTTCAAAAAGTTAAAGAGGGCGAAAAAGAACACAAAGGCATTCCCTACATCCATCTTTATCTTAAATTATAAAATAAACCTTCGTCTGTTTTAGTTCATAAAGTTTTTGAAGATGTAGCAAAGTCTTATGATTTAATGAATGATGCCATGTCTTTCGGCATTCATAGAATTTGGAAAGACATTTTTATACACAGACTTAGTCCAACAGAAAATACAAACTTATTAGATGTTGCTGGGGGGACAGGTACAAGAACGTCGTTTTTTAAATTACTGTTAAATGTTACTAAACTGTTTCCATATTACTTTATAGGAGACATTGCATTTAGATTCCTTAACTATGCTCAAAATAGTAATTATAAAAATTGTACTGCAACTATTTGCGATATAAATAGCGCTATGTTGGAGGAGGGAAAAAAACGAGCCATTAAATTAGGGTATAGTCCTAACTCATTAAGTTGGATAGAAGGAAATGCTGAAAAATTACCCTTCAATGATGAGACATTCACTGCCTACACAATTGCTTTTTACGAGAAATAATGG